CAGCCCGTATAGCCCACGCCAGGCCCGCGCGCAGCTAGTACAGCCCGCGTAGGCCCGTCGCAAAGCCCGTACAGCCCGCGTAGGCCCGTCGCGAAGCCCGTACAGCCCGCGCCAGGCCGTCGCGCAGCCCGTACAGCCCACGTCAGGCCCGCACGCAGCCCGTACAGCCCGCGCCAGGCCCGCACGCAGCTCGTACAGCCCGCGCCAGGCCCGCACGCAGCTCGTACAGCCCGCGCCAGGCCCGCACGCAGCCCTTACAGCCCATGCCTGGCCCGCACGCGGCCCGTGTTACTGCTGCACTCACGCTGCTGCTTCGCTGCTGCGCCTGAGCTGCTGCGGGTGCTGGCGCTGAGGGTTCTGAGTCTGCTGTTGCGCGGTTTCCTTGGAGTAGCCGCCTTCGTCCGCGCGTGCCTCTCACCTCACAGCAACTGCACGACTGGTACGGTCGCCGTCAGGGTCGCGCTTCTGGAGCTCGGGGCTCTGCCGCTGGAGGTACTTCTGCTGACGTCACTGGAGCTGGGAGTGGTGCTGGTCCCGGAGGTGCTCGTACTGGAGGTACTGGAGCTGCTGGGGCTGGAGGTGCTGAGCCTGAGGGTGCTGCTGCTGGAGACACTGAGGCTGGAGACCCTAGGACTGGAGGTGCCGGTTCTTGGGGTGCTGCTGCTGGTGGAGCTGGTCCTGGAGGAGCTGGTGCTGAGGGTTCTGGAGCTGCTGGAGGTGCTGGAGCTGCTGGAGGTGCTGGAGCTGCTGGAGGTGCTGGAGCTGCTGGTGCTGGTGGCACTGCACAGCCGCGCCTGTTCTTTGCTCCACCGTCTCCGTCGTCTCAGCCACCGTCTGACTCTGTGCTTCGCCATGTTCTTAGTCTCCCTTCGTCTACTGGTCTTCCGTTACAGCCTGGCTCACCGCTGCCTGCTCCTTCTCCTTACACTGAGCAGACAGGGGGTCTTACTGAGCGTCGTGAGCCTGCGTCGCGTCCTGTCTCGCCTGTCGGTTCTGGTCGTTCCGGTCGTCGTGTTCCTCGTTCGCGTCAGCCGGCTGTCTTCGGCACCCACCTCATAGTCCGTCGTCCTTCCTCTCCTCCGCAGCGTGTTCCCCTGCCGTCCCCTCCTGCGTCTTCTCTGCCTACCGTTCCTGAGCCTGAGTCTGACCGGTTTCGTGCTGAGCACCCTACTGTCACGCGTCTGCTAGCCACAGTTGTCACTGACCCGTCGTTTGAGTCTGCTGCTGCGTCTGCCTTAGTCGCTGAGCTTGTTGACTTTGCTGCTGCCTGTCGTCTAGACTACGCCGCTAGTCTTGTTTCTGAGTCTGAGTCTGTCTGTCCTCCGTCCGTCGGGGGTGAGTGTGCCCTTAGCACGGACGTCCTTGAGGACAGGCAGGAGGACCTTGAGTGTCTTGCAGCCGCTGCGCCTCATCTCGTGTCCATGCTGCTTGCCCCTGAGGGAGACCCGGATGCTCCAGACATCCCGACCCCGCGCTCTTACGCTGAGGCGATCGCGGGTGAGTACTCCTCTCAGTGGCAGACAGCCATGGACGCAGAGATGGCATCCTGGAAGTCCACAGGCATATACGTCGACGAGGTTCCCCCTCCTGGGGCAAACATCGTCAGTGGCATGTGGATTTTTAGGGTGAAGCGGCCGCCAGGTTCTCCGCCTGTCTTCAAGGCTTGTTACGTTGCTCGAGGCTTCAGTCAGAGGGAAGGAGTCGACTTCTTCCAGACATTCTCCCCCACCCCGAAGATGACCACTCTTCGGGTGCTGCTGCACGTTGCCGCTCAGCGTGACTACGAGCTTCACTCTCTTGACTTCAGCACAGCCTTCTTACAGGGCAGCCTGCACGAGGAGATCTGGCTGCGCCGCCCACCTGGCTTCACTGGGTCGTTCCCTCCTGGTACCCAGTGGAGCCTCCGGCGGCCGGTCTACGGTCTCCGCCAGGCGCCACGTGAGTGGCACGACACACTGAGGACGACACTTGCGGCTCTTGGGTTTACTCCGTCGACTGCTGACCCGTCGCTGTTTCTGCGCACCGACACTTCGCTGCCGCCGTTCTACATCCTCGTGTACGTCGACGACTTGGTCTTTGCCACTGCTGCTCTCGCCCTGGTGAAGTCGGAGCTGCAGAAGAGACACGTGCACAGACCTGGGTGAGCTGCGCAGTTACCTTGCTCACGTGGCCACTCGAGCCAACACTGCTGATATATTCACCAAGGCACTTCCGTCTGGTGATCATCAACGCTTTTGTACTTTGTTGGGCCTTGTGCCTACGTTTCCACACTTGCTGTAGATTCTGCTTGTACTGTGATCTATAAATATATACCTGCATGCTTGCTCTTGTTAGGTAGTGATCACTGTGCTATTGCTGCATATACATCTCTGCATGTGAACTGGCCTTGTGGCCTCTTGCTGGTGCTCAGAGTGTGTGGTGAATTTGTGATCCACCCTGAGCTGTGTTTTGTTTCTTCTCTTGACTGGCCTTGTGACCTTTGCTTGCTCTGGCTATCCCCCATTTCGCCTATCGGGGTGTGTCAAATCATATATGCATGTTTAGGTTATCTAGGCTGTATGGGGGTTAGCACTAAGGGGTACAACATTTCTCTCGACATTCTTCTTGTACCCCCCCCTTGACCTAATCACACATTCCTTCCTAGTATTCTAACAGCTGCAGCTGCTCGCCGTGCATATACTTCGATGCGGCTTCGAGTAGCTCGCCGAATCCGTACCTGCACATTGCGGACGAGGCATTTAGAATAGGAGCAAACAAGATTGAAACGATAGTATTTAATCGACTCAGAAGTAACCGTTTACTCAGAGTAGTAGGCCCCCCTTTGATCGAGCGGGAGGTTGGGTGTTCCCATCTCCTGCATAAACTTGATGAAGCCGACGTATGAAGTGATGGGTGCTTCCGACTGGCAGGTGACCGCGGTCTTCAAGGCCGCGATGAGGTGCAGGGTGCTCTTGTCGAGACCCTCATACTCATTGAGGATCGCCTGCCGTAGTTTCCTGCTCTGCTTCGCCTTCATTGCACCATGGGCGTCGAGGTGCACGGTGGAGCGTTGATGCGTGCGGATGCTTTGCTTCAGCATGTCGCACCCGCCTTCACCGCCCTTCCCGTATGCCGTGTTGGCATTTTTTGCGCCGTACTCCATGCATGTGCTGCACTTTAAGAGAGGAAAGCCGTCGTCAAAGCGGAGTAAAACGAGCCAGGGGAACAAACCATGCCAAGAATTATGGTAGCGCCTGTGCGCCTTGGCAAACTCGACTTCGGGATCACGCGTAGCAGACGGCGCGGTATCTTCTTCTTCGCCGTCGACAGGATCGTTGTCGGCCACCTCGTCGACTGGACTCGGCTCCCGGGTGAAACATAGCTTGCGCTGCCGCCATTTTTTCTCTCAGTCGACAGTTTTGCGCTTGATGCCTTCCGACTCCCGTCCATCATCCGTCGGTTGAGGTGATGGGCTGGCCTCCGCGGGCTCAGGGGTCGTGGAAAGAGACGCGGGCAAGGAAGGCCCATTCTCACGCGTCTGTACTGAAGGCATAACGGGCACATCGGCGACAGGTCTAAAAAAACTAAGGCCTGTTCGTGGGGGAGAGAGACGGCGTGCTTTGTCAACAGCATCGGCGTCGTCATCGTTGGCGTTGGGTGCCATAGCTAGGAGAACGATAGCACGGTAGGAGTGATGTGGCTAGATAGGTATACAGACGGGAGCAGAGTGGTGGCTGAACGAATTGAAGCATGGAACATGAATAGAAGAAATGACAACGCAAGGAGAGACCCCTCTTCCTTGCGGTGGTGAGGTGAGGCTTACCGCTGGGGTGAGCAAAGTGGGTGGGTGGGTGTGATGTGATGGGGGGGGGGGGGGATCTGGACAGTGCGGTGGGTGGGGAGTGTGCAGAGGGGTGGGATGTGATTGGCTGGCAAGGCAAGATTCCTTGGTTGTGGTGGCGAAATTTGCTGCCACGCTGCGCCGTGCTCTGCTGGCGGTGCGGGCCGTCAAGGTGACGCGCACAGAGCCGAATCTGAAATGTTGCCGCTGATTGCGACAAAATTTGGGGCGAACGTTGTGCAGGACAGTACACCCCCCCCCCCCCCCCCCCCGAAATTCGACAGTGTCGGATTCGTTTCTGCTCTTTCGCATCAGTCCGGTAACACAGGACCACTCTGAAAGATCAGCCCTTTGTGAAGATTTGTTAAAAAAAAAAGGGTTCAACTACAAACAGCTCTAAGAAAAAAGGTAAAGATTCACTACCCAACCTTATAGCAAGGCTCATAAGGGTGTGTTGAAGTTATATTTATATATAACCTGCTTGCTGCATAGGAGTAGTGTAGTTACATACTTGGTGGTGCACCCAATCGCTTTCTCCTTGCCTATATCTTTGTATGCCTTCATAATATTGAACCTCTTTGGCCAAACCCTCTCGACCTACCTCCCGTAACTCTCGCTATGCTCCTTCTCCTAAGCTCCTAGTTAACTCGTTTCTCAACAGGGTGATTCACCCTGCTAACCAAAGGCCTGCTTCACCCTCAGCTCCTTGTCACACCACTCACCTCACTTCACTTCAACCTCAGCGTTGTAAAAACCATAACACCCCCTCCTATAGAGGCGTACCTGCTCTAATAATAGATTTGAGTTTATTGATGGGGTGCACATCAATCGAGAAAAGTTAATAGGCGCATGGGGTAAATGACAAAACTCCACATGTGTGCGTCTAGTATTTGCAATCTCATTTTCTTCGAAATTAGATGCATGCGGCACAAAGGTGCTATGGAGTGTGCAAAAGAAATCTTTATGGAAACAAACATCATAATAAGACAAACAAACTGGATAAGCTGATGTGAACCCTCATGTCGGATAACGCAGCCAAAGAAAAGGAGGGTTCACTTGCCTCTTCAAATAGCGAATTTGGAGCTGCATGTCGGATCGGATTCCTCTCGTTGTGTCGATTGCTTTTCTTGCCGTGTGTCACGGGGATAGTCCACCCTGTGGCTCTGTGATAACGGTGGCCATGGCGGTCGTTGTGTCTGCTCAGGTTGTCGACGACTTTCTTCTACTCGGCTCGCTGACGCTCGACGAGCAGGTCCGGGCTCGCATTCGCCTTGTATTACGAGGACTTATTCATTCTTCTTACTGGTTTCGTTCACCAGGGTCAATGCCGCGGATTTCCCACGTGTAATTCCCGTCATATCGTTCGTGACGCATCTTCTCCTGTTCGGCATAACGACTAGAACAGACCGCAACGAGGACGCCACGCCTGTCGTTGTACTCGCTCGAAGAACCACCTAATCGTTGACAGAAAGCTAGTTATGGATCAATAGCGAACCAACCACTCACTTAACGTCCAAGTTAGAGTCCGCGCTCATTACATAGCCAGCAGTAGTGGTGGCGGCATCATTGCTGACGGTGCCAGAGCTGAGGGGCTTCCGCGCGTCGCCGCCCTCTTTTGAGGCGCCTCAAAAGGCTTCTGCTCATCGCCGCCGTCTTCTTTTCTCTTTTATCTCCGCTCAGAACCCGCCTATCCCACTCGCGCGCTCCTCCCTTCCCCCTGAATTTCCCATTTCCCCCACGAAACAGCAGCATGCGTGGCATTGCTAGATGCGCTTAGGGCCTTCTCGTCTCTCTCCTATACTCTCAGACCCCGCCGTTCTACCCTCCCCCCATTCTCCCCCCTTCCCCCCCATTCTACCCTCCCCCCATTCTCCCCCTTTCCCACCCATTCTACCCTCCGGACATTCTTCCCCCATACCCCCCATCAGGAGACAGCAGCATGTGCGGCGGTGCTGGCGGCGCTGAGGGGCTTCCCCTCGTCGCTCGTGAGGATCCGCCTGGCGGACGAGAGGGGCGTGCGACGGGCATCCACCTGCGCGCGTCCCTTCCCCTGTTCTCCCCCTGCTCCCCATTTCCGTCCCCCTCCCCTCCCCCCCACCGCCCTCAGGAGACAGCAGCATGTGTGGCGGTGCTGGCGGGGCTGAGGGGATTCCCCTCGTCGATGGTGAGGATTCGCCTGGAGAACGAGAGGGGCGTGCGACGGGCATTCACCCGCGCGCATCCCAACCCCCTCAACCCCCTCAGGAGACGGCAGCATGTGTGGCGGTGCTGGTGGCGCTGAGGGGTTTTCCGTCGTCGCTGGTGAGAATCCGCCTGGAGAGCGAGAGGAGCGTGCGGCGGGCGCGTGCCAGCCTCGTGGCAGAGCCGCCTCACCAGCTGGCCTACAACATACAGGTGCGTGCATGCGTGCATTTGCTTTGCACTTTTGCTCCGCTTGAGAGTGCAGAGTCCGTGTATTATTCGTGTTTGTGCTCCGCTTGAGAGTGCAGAGTCCGTGTATTATTCGTGTTTGTGCTCCGCTTGAGAGTGCTTTGAGACGTCTTAAATCCAGCATCGTGGCAGAGCCGCCTGACCCACTGGCCGACAACATACAGGTGCGTGCATGCGTGCGTGTGTTTGTGCGCTTGTGCTCCGCTCGATGTATGCGTTTTCACCTGCCACGCGGTGCGGCCCCTCATCTGTGGAACCTCCCTCCCTCCCTCCCTCCCTCCCTCCCTCCCTCCCTCCCTCCCTCCCTCCCTCCCTCCCTCCATCCCTCCCTCCCTCCCTCCCTCCCTTTCTCCTTCTCCCTTTCCCTCCATTCCTTCCCTCCCTCCATACTCCCCCCTTCCCCTCCCTTCCTTCCCTCGCTCCCTATCTCCCTGCCTCCTTCCCCCCTTCCTGCCCTGCGTCCGCCAGGCGGAGGCAGCTACACTGCTGCCTTTGATCGCTGACACCACCCTCCTCCGCCACTTCACGGACCGCCACGAGTCCTTAGTACCACTTTCTGCCTCTTTCCCCTCTCCCCTCTCCCCACCCTTCAGGCGGAAGCAGCTACACTGCTGCCTTTGATCGCTGACACCGCCCTCCTCCGCCACTTCACGGAGCGACACGAGTCATCCCGCTCCCGCGCCGCCATGCTCTGCACATCGCTGCCGGAGCCGCCCGGCCTACCTTTGGAGCAGCACCACACGAGCCAGTGCCTTCAGGCCCTCGCCCAGGCCATCCGCGTATTCCTTGATGTGAGCCCACCGTCTGTGCGAGCCCACCGTCTGTGCGAGCCCATTGCCTGTGACCGTGTGTAAGCTCTTTGCGTGCCTTCTTCTTATGTGTCAACCTGTGTTTTGGGCTTCGAGATGCATGCATTAGTGCCCGTGGCACTAATGTGAGATGCCGCGCATTGTGCTTTGCCTTTTATTCGAGAATTCACAAGCGTGATTCTTGCGATCACTGTTCCTTTATCCCCAACTCATCATGCCTCCCCATGCCACCGCATGCCACCTCATGCCACCTCATGCCACTGCTACCACACCATTCCACTCCATGCCACTATACACCACCCCTTCCCTGTGCCTGCCAGAACACAGCCATGCTGTTATGCAAGCTGGAGAGTCAGTGTGAGAGCCACGGGATGAGGTTGCTGGAGCTCAAGCGGTGCATTCAGGTACGGAGTGGTGCATGTGGTATACAATGATGCAGTTGGTATATGGTGGTGCTGCTGGTTATGTAGTGGTGCAGTCAGGTACTAAATGGTTTTTTCAAGTATGAAGTGGTGCATCTAGGTGTAAGTATAGTGTCACAGTCAGAAAATGCAGTTTTTTCTCAGAAGTTATTTCTGTTCGCTTTTCACTGATGTATGTATGTATCCACCCCAAGGCCCCACGCCATGCTTGTATCAATTCCAAAATCTTCCTTTCTTCGCAGAGCAGCCCTTAGTGTGCAACAGAGTGAGGGGGGTGCAACAAGTGTGCGTGTGCACGTCTCTTACCACTCACTCTGTCTCTCTCGCTACGCATGGGTGAATGCAAATCCCCCAATGCTCCTGTCTGAATGCTGCTGTGCAGCCCATAGTGGGCGGAGTGCGGGTGCTGACGGACGGCGTTTGTCAGAGAGAGTGGGTCGTACCAAGTGCTCAGTCAGCCCAGCCCATGCATCCTTCCTCCCAGTGCTCCCATCTGTATGCTTCTGTGCCGCCCATAGCGGGTGGAGTGAGGGTGCTGCTGATGCACATCGTGGGAGTGATTGGGTCTTGAATTACTCACTTTGTGCATGGCAACTCAGTCCGTGCAATCATTTTCCCCAATGCTTCCCTCTCTGTATGCTGCCGTGCCGTGCAGCCCATATCAGACGGAGTGAGGGTGCTCACGCCCTTTGGGTGGAGGGTTTCTGGGTCAACTCAAAGACCAATCTCCCCCGATCTCAAAGATAAATCTCCCCCGATCTCAAAGATCAATCTCCCCCGATCTCAAAGATCAATCTCCCCCGATCTCAAAGATCAATCCCCCCAATCTTCACTCTCTGTGTGCTGTCATGCAACCCGTAGCGGATGGAGTGACTGCATGTAGCGTGTGCTGACGCTGCCGCCCGTAGCATGTGCTGACGCTGCCGCCCGTAGCATGTGCTGACGCTGCCGCCCGTAGCATGTGCTGACGCTGCCGCCCGTAGCGTGTGCTGACGCCCATCATTAGAGTGACTGGGTCGTGCCAATTACTCACTCACTCCATGCATCATTTCTCCCACTTCTCCCTGTGTGTTGCCGTGCCATGCGTGCAGCTTATAGCAGATAGAGTGAGGGTGCTCACACCCGTGGTGAGAGTGACTGGGTCGGACCGATCACTTAGTCGGTCCATGCATCATTTCTTCTCCCAATGCTCCCCTCTGTGTGTCGCCGTGCCGTGCCCCGCAGCCCGTAGCGGACGGAGTGAGGGTTCTTGAGCCCATCGTGAGAGGGGTGGACGATGAAGGATGGGGATCCACAGAGGTTCTTGACATGCTGCATGCAGCGGTATGCAGTGGTATGCAGCGGTATGCAATGGTTTGCAGTGGTATGCAATGTTGTACAGCGGTTTGCAATGATATACAGCGGTATGCAATGATTCACAACAATATAAAATGATTTACAGCTGTATCCATGGGTATGGAGCAGTATGCAATGGTTTGCAGGGCTATGCACTTCCCATGACGCATGCAGTGGTATGATGAAGAGAGTGGTATGCAGCGGTATGCAGTGGTACAGTGGTATGCAGAGAGTGCTCCACAGATACATCGACTTCAAGTCAAGAATTCCCCTCGTTCTCTCCCTTCTCGTTCTCTCCCTTCTCGTTCTCTCCCTTCTCGTTCTCTCCCTTCTCGTTCTCTCCTTCCCATTCCACCCGTTCCCTCCCATCCCACCTCGAACCCCCGTCCGACTCCCTTCCCTTCCACCCACTTCCCTTCCTTCCCAGTCCACACGACCAGATGTGAGGGAGGCGGAGGGTCTCATTCGTTTTGTGCTGCAAGCTACATGCGCCCCCTACCTTCACCTCCTCTCCTCGTATGTCCATGCCCTCCATATCCTCCATACCCTCCATACCCTCCATACCCTCCATGCCATCCCTATTGTATGTTACCCTCCCTCCCTTCAACTCTTCTCTTCAGATGTGCCTCACACGTGCTCCATTCTTCCACTTGTTTCCTCTTGCTCTTATTTCAACTCTTCCCGTTTCATGTTGCTTTGCATCAAGCTTGACCTGACCTGACCTGACCTGACCTGACCTGACCTGACCTGATCTGACCTGACCTGACCTGACCTGACCTGACCTGACCTGACCTGACCTGACCGGACCTCACCTCACCTCACCTCACCTCACCTCAACTGACCTCACCAGACCTGACCTGACCTGACCTGGCCTGACCTGACCTGACCTGACCTGATCTGACCTGACCTGACCTGACCTGACCTGACCTGACCTGACCTGACCTGACCTGACCTGACCTGACCTGACCTGACCTGACCTGACCTGACCTGACCTGACCTGACCTGACCTGACCTGACCTGACCGGACCTCACCTCACCTCACCTCACCTCACCTCACCTCACCAGACCTGACCTGTTGCTGCTGCTGGTATGGTCGCAGGTGGATGCAGGAAGGCAGGCTGGACGACGACATTCACAGCGAGTTATTCATTTCCGCATGCACCACTGCTGCTACAGCCACTACAGCCGCTACAGCCGCTACAGCTGCACACTCACCTGCTGATGCACAAACCACCCCATCTGCTCATGGTCGCAGCATATTCACCACAGCCACCAGTGACAGTGATGGTTTGCGGTTGATGGGGCATGGTGGCGTGTGGGAAAGGGAGGGCGAAGGAGGGGAGGCCACGGGGCAAGGGGATTGGCGGAGTGCAGAGGGGTGGGAAGGGGTGGAAGGGCAGCGGTTTGTGGTGCGGTGCGATGCGGTGCCAGTGCTGTTCCAGTCGGTGGCTGACGATGTGCTGGCCACAGGGCAGCTAGTGCATGCGCTGAGAGAACATGGGTACTTGAAGCAGGTGTGTGGGTGGGGTGGGGTGAGGTGGGATGAGGTGGGCTGCTCGAAGGAAACAGTGTGAACATTGGGTGTGTGTGTGCATGGGGTGTGCATGGGGTGTGCATGGGGTGTGCATGGGGTGTGAGTGCAGAGACTCATGATGAGCTGGCCACGGGGCCGCTGGTGCATGCGCTGAGGGAGCACGGGTACTTGAAGCAGGTGAGTGGGTGTGTGGGGTGAGGTGGGGAGCTAGAAGGAAATAGGTGTGTACATGGGGTGTGGGTGTGTGTGCTAAGAATCACAATGTGCTGGCCGCGGGGCAGCTGGTGCATGCGCTGCAGGGAGTATGGTGGGTGGGTGGGTGCATGGTGCGCATGCACGGTGTATGCAGTGTAATGAGATCGACCCTTTTCCACATCCTCGCTCTGGTTCACATGTTAAAAACGACCTCCCTCTGTGAAGCCTTTTCTTGGGACAGCACTCCCTCTCCCTTCTCCTCTCCTCCCACCTTCACACCGCAGCTGATCCCATCAGAGGGAGAGGCACAACAGCCACAGATGCAGCTGGGCAGTCTAGAGGAGAGCGATTTTGATTCGACTCAAGAGTCTTCCTCCTTACCCCCTCACACTGCAGCTGATCGCATCAGAGGGAGAGGCGGAACAGCCACAGATGCAGCTGGGCAGTCTAGAGGAGAGTGTGGGTGCGCGCACGCAGGCAGTGCAGCAGACGATGCTAGACCTTACATTGAACAAGGTGGGGTACTTCCATGCAATGTCATGGGTACTAGTGCTGCTACAGGCAGGGTACTGTGAACAGGGTAGAGTACTGTACTGCTGCATGAGATGCTGCTGCACGGAATTGGGCGTGAATACCAATGCGTCCATGCCTCCATGTCATGCCTGCATGACTGCATGCCTGCATGACTGCATGCCTGCATGACTGCATGCCCGCTTGACTGCATGCCTGCATGACTGCATGCCTGCATGACTGCGTGCCTGCATGACTGCATGCCTGCATGACTGCATGCCTGCTTGACTGCATGCCTGCATGACTGCATGCCTGCATGACTGCATGCCTGCATGACTGCATGCCTGCATGACTGCATGCCTGCTTGACTGCATGCCTGCATGACTGCATGCCTGCATGCACGAGCATCACCTGATGTCTCCATGTCATCACTAATAGGGATGAGCAAAAAAACGAACACCTGTTCGGTTCGCCTCGAACGTGTTCGTGGCGAACCGAACAGGTTAATTTTTTTGGCTTAAAGTGTTCGCCGAACAGTGTTCGAGGTTCGCCCGAACACGTTCGTGTTCGGGCCGCTGCTTCAATTTGCCCCTAGACGAACACGAACGTGTTCGAGGTTCGCCCGAACACGCCTTCATAGGCGAACGGCGAACACCTGTTTTTGCTTAAGGTGTTCGCCGAACCGAACAGTGTTCGGTTCGCCAAACAGGGGTGTTCGTGCATGGGCGAACGCGAACACGTTCGTGTTCGCCCCTTGCTCATCCCTAATCACTAAGTGTGTGCGCATCTGCCTCTGAATGAGGGGGGGTGTGGAAGGGTTGACCCTGCTGCGTTTCTTCTACCCTCTTATAACAGTATCCGCCATCCTTTATTCCGCCCACCCCCCCCGTTCCCCTCGCTCCCCCCCCCCCTCTTCCCCGGTCCTCACACACGGCCGTTTTTCCTCCGTGCAAAGCAGAGCCACCTGCTCGGGCATCTGCTCACCATCAGACGAGTGCTGCTGCTCTCCCAGGTACACCTCGCTGAGTAGAAAAGGAATTCGAACCGCAGCAAGCCGTGTTTATCTGTCCGTGTGTACAGGATGTGTTACGGAAATAGTCCTGCAGTGCTCGCTCGGGCATCTGCTCACCATCAGACGAGTGCTGTTGCTCTCCCAGGTACACCTCGATCTCGTTATAGCTGGCAATCCATATATTTCCTCCATTCACTCGTCATCCACTCATCTTGTGCAGCCAGCTTTGAGACGTTTTGAAACTCCATCAGTGCATCTCCATCAGTGCATCTCCATCAGTGCATCCCCATCAGTGCATCTCCATCAGTGCATCTCCATCAGTGCATCTCCATCAGTGCATCTCCATCAATGCATCTCCATCAATGCATCTCCATCAATGCATCTCCATCAATGCATCTCCATCAATGCATCTCCATCAATGCATCTCCATCAATGCATCTCCATCCATCCATCCATCCATCCATCCATCCATCCATCCATCCATCCATCCATCCATCCATCCATCCATCCATCCATCCATCCATCCATCCATCCATCCATCCATCCATCCATCCATCCATCCATCCATCCATCCATCCATCCATCCATCCATCCATCCATCCATCCATCCATCCATCCATCCATCCATCCATCCATCCATCCATCCATCCATCCATCCATCCATCCATCCATCCATCCATCCATCCATCCATCCATCCATCCATCCATACATCCATCCCCTCCGACCATCCGTCTTCCTCCCTCCCCTCACCTCTGCAAGCCAGCATTGCTCATCATGTGCCGTCCATCTCCTCCTGACTCCCCTCGGCCTCACCCACCCGCAGCCACCTTCACCCCACCACGGGCGGACTTCCTTTCCGGCTTCATTTCATAACATTGGCATGGCAGGCGAGGAGCTCGGCACGCCACCCGTGCTTCTTATGTGCCCATCCTTGGCACTGGCTCCATCAACCAAGTCCTTCCTGACTTCTCCTCACCCTCAACCACCCCCTTCCTCTTTCCCCAACCCCATTACCAGGCGGACATCCTGTCAGACTTGATGGCACTGGCAGGCGAGCAGCTCTGCAAGCCACCCGCGCTTACATGTGCCTGTCTTGTCGTTTGCACAAAAATCATGAAATTCTTCCCTGACCCCTCTTTACTTTCAACCCCAACCCCTCCTCCACCCCCCGAGGCGGATTTACTGTCTGACTTCATGGCACTGGCAGGCGAGCAGCTCTGCAAGCCAGCCAAAAGGGCGTCTCAGGCTCGCATTGATGTGAGGGCGCTGTCATTTAGATCCATGCATGCTGTTGCACGGAGCATGAGTCACGTACCATGGCCTATGCTGTTCCATGCACAAGGCAGCCTGCACGCACCATGTAGCACACGCCATGTATGCAGCATGCACCATGTGTGCAGCATGCACCATGTGTGCAGCATGCACCATGTATGCAGCATGCACCATGTATGCAGCAGTATGCACCATGTTTCATGTACTGTGCAACAATGCACCATGTACGTTGCGCCATGCATATTGGGAATTAGTATGTAACGACGTAAAGGAAGTTCTGATCATCCCACTGCGTGACCTCATTGGACAAGACGAAGTGCCAGACTCCACAGCAGACTCTGCAGGAGCCTCTGACCCCCCACTGTGATCTCTTTGTTCTGCACATGTGTCCTTACAGTTCATCAGTTAATAAGTTGGATTTAGCGCTAATGTCGATTTACGTTTACGAACGTTTACACATAGTTTTTACGTTTACGAACGGTTGACCATATTTGGACTAACGTTTTCGGGCAGCCACCGAATTTTCTTAGGCAGCCCAGCCCAGATAAGAACATTCGGTGTGAGTACTTACTCACTCCTAGTAATTTTCGCGGTATTTTTCAGCCTCGAGTTCTACTTTACTATTCCCCCCAACACCAACAGATGTTTCCACCCTTCCTGTGCTGTGCACTCCATTCCTTTCCTCCTCCACTTCTTCTCCATTGATGAATACATCCATACCTTCCCTTTCTTCATGCATCCTTCCCTTTCTGTCAATATCTTCCATTTTTTAACCACTGAAGCATGAGAGAGGGTGCTGAATCCTTGTTGACTTTTTTTTTTTACCTGCCTGACGTTAGTCATGGGCGTTCGTTAACGTTCGTTAGTGTAAAACGTTACTTAACGTGTTAGCTAACGCTAACGTGGTTAAAAAAACGTTAGAGGCCAACTTATTAACCGTCTTCTCCTCATCTCATCACCACCTCTTCTTCCCGCTCTAGATGTCACTGGGTGCCTCTCTGCGCTCCTCCACTGCACCCAACTTGTGATCCGGCCTTTTGCACATGTGTGTGTGACCTTTCATTATCCTCACCAGATTCTCCTCATCTCTTCCCACACCTTTCTCCCTTTCCAGCTGTCACTGGGTGCCTCTCTGCGCTCCTCTACTGCAGCCTCTGACCCCAACTGCGACCGCCTCTCTGCACGCCTGGTGAGCACGGTTGAATGAATGAATGTATAGTATGGATGGATACACACAGGTGCGCAGGTGAGCGTGTGAGGGCGAGTGTGTGAGAGAGAGTTACATCTTGAAGGTTGTATTGTAAGAGCGCATGGATGGATCAATACTCGCGTGTGCACACGTGCATGCACAGAAGAGAAGAAGCCCTTTTCTTCCCCATCCCTCCCCCTCCTTCCCCATCCCTCCCCCTCCTTCCCCATCCCTCCCCCTCCTTTCCCATCCTTCCCCCTCCTTCTCCCAGTGTTCTTCCTGTGCCACCGCACACACATCCCGCTCACATTTCCTAGACCTGCCTTGGGCACCTTACGTACTTTTTGCTTTGCCTCGAAATTTGTCCCTTTACCCGCGATTTGAGAACCGTGCATGCTATTGAACTCCTTCCATCAACACGACACCCTGCCCCCCCATCAATGCACCTCACCTCCGTACCGATTCCCACTCACTCAACATTCATGTCCCCTAATGTCTCCCCATCTTGCCGCATTTAGGTCCCTGTCGATCCACCCAGTCCCTCCAACTCATCGCTTCAACAGCAACCCCTACAGTCACAACCTTTACAATCACAATCGCCGCACCTACAGCGCGCACCAGCACAGCCACCACAGTCACATCTGCAGCAGTCACGGGAGAGCATGGACGGTGCAGATCTGCTGAGCAGCCTCCAGGCTTACGATCAATACGAGGACCTGCTGGGGGATGATGCAGATGGTGACGCTGACGCTGCTCATGCTGCTGCTGGCGGTGGTGGCAGTGGTGGTGGTGATGGTGGTGATGGTGGTGATGGTGGTGATGGTGGTGATGGTGGTGATGGTGGTGATGGTGGTGATGGGGATGACAGGCAGCTCTACAGCAACCCGCTGTCGCTGCTATCCCAGGACACCCCTGCTGGCCCAGTCAGCCCTGCAGCTGTGTCATCCTGGTCGCTTGTCTCGAGGGGCACTCCAGCTGCAGCGCAGGCAGGGGGGGGGGAAGGGGGTGAGGGGAGGGGAGCTGCAGGGCAGAGCGGATGGGAGGCCATCTATATCGACTACCAGGTGGGTTCCCAGGCAAAGTCAGACAGCTTGTTAAACTTTTTAAAAAGGATAGAAACAATCGACTTCCAGGTGGTTTGGCTCTTCTGCCCATAACTCGATTTTTGTTTTTTTCCGTTACCTCTTCATGTTTAATGTGAAATATTAGTTCAAGGCTTAAGTATCGATTCTTATTGGTGCTGGCGAATTGCACCTTCCTCTTCCTGCGCGCCTCATTCCTCTTCCCATGCCCTCATCCACCCATAACCCACCCACCCCTCCTCCACCATTCTTCCCTGCCGCACTCACTGCAGGCCCCCTGGCCAGTATCCGCTGTGCGGCTGTGGTACCCCCGTCCGCCCTGCAGGCTTACAACCGCCTCTCCCTCTTCCTGCTCGCCTCATCCCCATCCCATCCCCCTGTTCCCAACCCACCTGTAACTCCCCTTTACTGCAGGCGCCCTGGCCAGTATCAGCGGTGGTGCCCCCATCCGCCCTTCAAGGTTACAACCGCCTCTTCCGCTTCCTGCTCGCCGCCAGGCGAACCCACCTGCACCTCGCCCTCGCATGGTCTGCCCTGCAGGTAGGGCTGTGGGGGATGGTGGTGATGGTGATTTCCGTTGGGCCGTGGGGGATGGTGGTTATGATATGTGTAGGGCCGTGGTGTGGTGGTGGTGGTGATGGTATCTGCAGGGCGAAGGGCGTGATGTGGGGTGCTGGATGCTGGCACAGGCTGTTTTGCAGTAGAGTGGTGTGGAGTGGTGTGGAGTGGTGTGCTCCACACACAGGCATGCACACGGATAATTATAAGACACTTGCTGCTCTTTTGAGTTGACTCAAAAGCCACCGTGCTGCAGTGGAGACTTCTAGGTGACTTTTGAGTTGACTCAAAAGACACGGATAATCATAAGACACTCGCTGCATATTTGAGTCGACTCAAAAGCCAGCATGCTGCAGGGGAGACTTCTTCCAGTAATGGAGAGCTTAGGATAGAGGTGAGGTGCACGTGCACATACATACAAGTTAGTCCTAGCTGCAGCCGCCGCTGCCACACACGAGTATATCGTTACGTTGCACCAGCAGCACTGCTAGCAGGCTGCACTGCTGCTGCCACTGCCGCTGCGCTCTGCTCCACTCACACTGGCAGCTGATGTGGGGACTGAAGGTAGGGGGCAGTGCTGTAGTGCGTGCATTAATGAGTCGACACAAATGAACCCCCTCCCCACCGCCTCTCACACACATACAGCATTCACATTCCTAGCTGAAGTGCTGATTAAGGAGACAATGCTGCAACGTGTGCAATATTGAGTCAACTCAAAATATTCCTTCCCTCTCCTCCCTCCCATACACATGCAACATCCACACCTTCCCAGCTGACACGGAGATTGAAGGTGGAAAGGTCACTGCTGCAGCGCTTGCACTCATGAGTCAACTCAAAATACCCCATTACCCCCCCAAACACACACACACACACACTCCCACTCCCAGCTGACGCGGGGACTGAAGGTGGAAGGGCCACTGCTGCAGTGTGTGCACCCTCTTGAGTCGACACAGAAGAACCCCCTTCCTGCTCCCCCCCACACCACACATAGCTGACATGGCGACTGAAGGCGCAGGGGTCATTGCTGCAGCGTTTGCACTCTTGAGGCCAACACAAAAAGAACCCTCCCACCCCCACAACCCCCCTATTACTTCTGACACTCCCAGCTGACGCGGGGACTGAAGGTGGAAGGGACAATGCTGCAGCGCGTGCACTGGCTGCGGCATCGCATGGCATGTGCTGTCACTGCCATCCTCGACCACGTGGCACATGCGGTGAGTATGCATGGGTACATGGGTGCACTGGCTGCGGCATCGCATGGCGTGTGCTGTCACTGCCATCCTCGACCATGTCGCACATGCGGTGCGTGAGTGAGTGTGTGTGCGTGCATGCGTGTGTGCCTGCCTATCTCTCCATATTTCCATTCTGTGGTTGACACATTGCATTTACCTACTCTGCCTTCTGTCGTCTGTTCCTCTGTCTAATTGGTTTGATTTTTGTTGTACTCTCAAAAGCGCTCTTAAATGCACGCCCATATGCACTACCAAATGCACTCCCACATGCACTCTCGAACCACTTTTTCATTACCGGAATTCTTTCCGTACCCACGAAGTGTTCCACCATGTAGGCTCTTTATTCCTTTCATTCACTGCTCTTCTGTGTGCTCTTTCCCTTTCAACCTCCTTACCCTTTCCCATTCATTTCCATGCTCTCATGTATTTTCCCCAAAACACTCCACCCTCTCCCCCCTCCCCCGCTCTCCTTCTCAACACCTTCAAGTGATTAGCCTTCATTTAATCCCTCTTCCCCTCCCCTTCCCTCACGACACCTTCCCCTTTCCCTTTCCTTTCCCTCCCTTTCCTTTCCCTCCCTTTCCCTTCGCCTTCCTTTCCTTTCCCTCCCTCTCCCTTCCCCTCCCTTTCTTTTCCCTCCGTTCCTCTTCCCTCCTCTCTTGATACATTTCCCTTGATACCATCAGGTGATAAGCCCCAATTTCGACTTCATGACATCAAAATTGACCAAGGCTACCTCCTTCCACCAGGTGGCTCACTCTCTCTCGCCCACCACCACCCTCCCCCGCTCGATAGATTCATCCCTCATATCATCGCAAATCTCCCACCACCACCTCCTCCTGATGGCATCCAACACGACTTTAAAGCAGCCCCCCCCCCTCCCCCCCCCCCCCCCCCCACCCCCCCCAATCACTTAATTGATAACTTTGTTGTAACAAACCCACGTCCTGCTGCATATCGACTCGGACTTTCAACCCCACGTCACATGAGCACTTGAGGACATGCGCGCATGCATGAGCACATGAGGACATGCGCGCATGCATGAGCACATGAGGACATGCGCGCATGCATGAGCACATGAGGACATGCGCGCATGCATGAGCACATGAGGACATGCGCGCATGCATGAGCACATGAGGACATGCGCGCATGCATGAGCACATGAGGACATGCGCGCATGCATGAGCACATGAGGACATGCGCGCATGCATGAGCACATGAGGACATGCGCGCATGCATGAGCACATGAGGACATGCGCGCATGCATGAGCACATGAGGACATGCGCGCATGCATGAGCACATGAGGACATGCGCGCATGCATGAGCACATGAGGACATGCGCGCATGCATGAGCACATGAGGACATGCGCGCATGCATGAGCACATGAGGACATGCGCGCATGCATGAGCACATGAGCACATGCGCGCATGCATGAGCACATGAGCACATGCGCGCATGCATGAGCACATGAGGACATGCGCGCATGCATGAGCACATGAGGACATGCGCGCATGCATGAGCACATGAGGACATGCGCGCATGCATGAGCACATGAGGACATGCGCGCATGCATGAGCACATGAGGACATGCGCGCATGCATGAGCACATGAGGACATGCGCGCATGCATGAGCACATGAGGACATGCGCGCATGCATGAGCACATGAGGACATGCGCGCATGCATGAGCACATGAGGACATGCGCGCATGCATGAGCACATGAGGACATGCGCGCATGCATGAGCACATGAGGACATGCGCGCATGCATGAGCACATGAGGACATGCGCGCATGCATGAGCACATGAGGACATGCGCGCATGCATGAGCACATGAGGACATGCGCGCATGCATGAGCACATGAGCACATGCGCGCATGCATGAGCACATGAGGACATGCGCGCATGCATGAGCACATGAGGACATGCGCGCATGCATGAGCACATGAGGACATGCGCGCATGCATGAGCACATGAGGACATGCGCGCATGCATGAGCACATGAGGACATGCGCGCATGCATGAGCACATGAGGACATGCGCGCATGCATGAGCACATGAGGACATGCGCGCATGCATGAGCACATGAGGACATGCGCGCATGCATGAGCACATGAGGACATGCGCGCATGCATGAGCACATGAGGACATGCGCGCATGCATGAGCACATGAGCACATGCGCGCATGCATGAGCACATGAGCACATGCGCGCATGCATGAGCACATGAGCACATGCGCGCATGCATGAGCACATGAGCACATGCGCGCATGCATGAGCACATGAGCACATGCGCGCATGCATGAGCACATGAGGACATGCGCGCATGCATGAGCACATGAGGACATGCGCGCATGCATGAGCACATGAGGACATGCGCGCATGCATGAGCACATGAGGACATGCGCGCATGCATGAGCACATGAGGACATGCGCGCATGCATGAGCACATGAGGACATGCGCGCATGCATGAGCACATGAGGACATGCGCGCATGCATGAGCACATGAGGACATGCGCGCATGCATGAGCACATGAGGACATGCGCGCATGCATGAGCACATGAGGACATGCGCGCATGCATGAGCACATGAGGACATGCGCGCATGCATGAGCACATGAGCACATGCGCGCATGCATGAGCACATGAGCACATGCGCGCATGCATGAGCACATGAGGACATGCGCGCATGCATGAGCACATGAGGACATGCGCGCATGCATGAGCACATGAGGACATGCGCGCATGCATGAGCACATGAGGACATGCGCGCATGCATGAGCACATGAGGACATGCGCGCATGCATGAGCACATGAGGACATGCGCGCATGCATGAGCACATGAGGACATGCGCGCATGCATGAGCACATGAGGACATGCGCGCATGCATGAGCACATGAGGACATGCGCGCATGCATGAGCACATGAGGACATGCGCGCATGCATGAGCACATGAGGACATGCGCGCATGCATGAGCACATGAGGACATGCGCGCATGCATGAGCACATGAGGACATGCGCGCATGCATGAGCACATGAGGACATGCGCGCATGCATGAGCACATGAGCACATGCGCGCATGCATGAGCACATGAGCACATGCGCGCATGCATGAGCACATGAGCACATGCGCGCATGCATGAGCACATGAGCACATGCGCGCATGCATGAGCACATGAGGACATGCGCGCATGCATGAGCACATGAGCACATGCGCGCATGCATGAGCACATGAGGACATGCGCGCATGCATGAGCACATGAGGACATGCGCGCATGCATGAGCACATGAGGACATGCGCGCATGCATGAGCACATGAGGACATGCGCGCATGCATGAGCACATGAGGACATGCGCGCATGCATGAGCACATGAGGACATGCGCGCATGCATGAGCACATGAGGACATGCGCGCATGCATGAGCACATGAGGACATGCGCGCATGCATGAGCACATGAGGACATGCGCGCATGCATGAGCACATGAGGACATGCGCGCATGCATGAGCACATGAGGACATGCGCGCATGCATGAGCACATGAGCACATGCGCGCATGCATGAGCACATGAGGACATGCGCGCATGCATGAGCACATGAGGACATGCGCGCATGCATGAGCACATGAGGACATGCGCGCATGTGCGCGCATGCATGAGCACATGAGGACATGCGCGCATGCATGAGCACATGAGGACATGCGCGCATGCATGAGCACATGAGGACATGCGCGCATGCATGAGCACATGAGGACATGCGCGCATGCATGAGCACATGAGGACATGCGCGCATGCATGAGCACATGAGGACATGCGCGCATGCATGAGCACATGAGGACATGCGCGCATGCATGAGCACATGAGCACATGCGCGCATGCATGAGCACATGAGCACATGCGCGCATGCATGAGCACATGAGCACATGCGCGCATGCATGAGCACATGAGGACATGCGCGCATGCATGAGCACATGAGGACATGCGCGCATGCATGAGCACATGAGGACATGCGCGCATGCATGAGCACATGAGGACATGCGCGCATGCATGAGCACATGAGGACATGCGCGCATGCATGAGCACATGAGGACATGCGCGCATGCATGAGCACATGAGGACATGCGCGCATGCATGAGCACATGAGGACATGCGCGCATGCATGAGCACATGAGGACATGCGCGCATGCATGAGCACATGAGGACATGCGCGCATGCATGAGCACATGAGGACATGCGCGCATGCATGAGCACATGAGGACATGCGCGCATGCATGAGCACATGAGGACATGCGCGCATGCATGAGCACATGAGGACATGCGCGCATGCATGAGCACATGAGGACATGCGCGCATGCATGAGCACATGAGGACATGCGCGCATGCATGAGCACATGAGCACATGCGCGCATGCATGAGCACATGAGCACATGCGCGCATGCATGAGCACACGAGCACATGCGCGCATGCTTTAGCACACGAGCACATGCGCGCATGCATGAGCACACGAGCACATGCGCGCATGCTTTAGCACACGAGCACATGCGCGCATGCATGAGCACATGAGCACATGCGCGCATGCATGAGCACATGAGCACATGCGCGCATGCATGAGCACATGAGCACATGCGCGCATGCATGAGCACATGAGCACATGCGCGCATGCATGAGCACATGAGCACATGCGCGCATGCATGAGCACATGAGCACATGCGCGCATGCATGAGCACATGAGCACATGCGCGCATGCATGAGCACATGAGCACATGCGCGCATGCATGAGCACATGAGCACATGCGCGCATGCATGAGCACATGAGGACATGCGCGCATGCATGAGCACATGAGGACATGCGCGCATGCATGAGCACATGAGGACATGCGCGCATGCATGAGCACATGAGGACATGCGCGCATGCATGAGCACATGAGGACATGCGCGCATGCATGAGCACATGAGGACATGCGCGCATGCATGAGCACATGAGGACATGCGCGCATGCATGAGCACATGAGGACATGCGCGCATGCATGAGCACATGAGGACATGCGCGCATGCATGAGCACATGAGGACATGCGCGCATGCATGAGCACATGAGGACATGCGCGCATGCATGAGCACATGAGGACATGCGCGCATGCATGAGCACATGAGGACATGCGCGCATGCATGAGCACATGAGGACATGCGCGCATGCATGAGCACATGAGGACATGCGCGCATGCATGAGCACATGAGGACATGCGCGCATGCATGAGCACATGAGGACATGCGCGCATGCATGAGCACATGAGGACATGCGCGCATGCATGAGCACATGAGGACATGCGCGCATGCATGAGCACATGAGCACATGCGCGCATGCATGAGCACATGAGCACATGCGCGCATGCATGAGCACATGAGCACATGCGCGCATGCATGAGCACATGAGCACATGCGCGCATGCATGAGCACATGAGCACATGCGCGCATGCATGAGCACATGAGCACATGCGCGCATGCATGAGCACATGAGCACATGCGCGCATGCATGAGCACATGAGCACATGCGCGCATGCATGAGCACATGAGGACATGCGCGCATGCATGAGCACATGAGGACATGCGCGCATGCATGAGCACATGAGGACATGCGCGCATGCATGAGCACATGAGGACATGCGCGCATGCATGAGCACATGAGGACATGCGCGCATGCATGAGCACATGAGGACATGCGCGCATGCATGAGCACATGAGGACATGCGCGCATGCATGAGCACATGAGCACATGCGCGCATGCATGAGCACATGAGCACATGCGCGCATGCATGAGCACATGAGCACATGCGCGCATGCATGAGCACATGAGCACATGCGCGCATGCATGAGCACATGAGCACATGCGCGCATGCATGAGCACATGAGCACATGCGCGCATGCATGAGCACATGAGCACATGCGCGCATGCATGAGCACATGAGGACATGCGCGCATGCATGAGCACATGAGGACATGCGCGCATGCATGAGCACATGAGGACATGCGCGCATGCATGAGCACATGAGGACATGCGCGCATGCATGAGCACATGAGGACATGCGCGCATGCATGAGCACATGAGGACATGCGCGCATGCATGAGCACATGAGGACATGCGCGCATGCATGAGCACATGAGGACATGCGCGCATGCATGAGCACATGAGGACATGCGCGCATGCATGAGCACATGAGGACATGCGCGCATGCATGAGCACATGAGGACATGCGCGCATGCATGAGCACATGAGGACATGCGCTGCATGAGCACATGAGGACATGCGCGCATGCATGAGCACATGAGGACATGCGCGCATGCATGAGCACATGAGGACATGCGCGCATGCATGAGCACATGAGGACATGCGCGCATGCATGAGCACATGAGGACATGCGCGCATGCATGAGCACATGAGGACATGCGCGCATGCATGAGCACATGAGGACATGCGCGCATGCATGAGCACATGAGCACATGCGCGCATGCATGAGCACATGAGCACATGCGCGCATGCATGAGCACATGAGCACATGCGCGCATGCATGAGCACATGAGCACATGCGCGCATGCATGAGCACATGAGCACATGCGCGCATGCATGAGCACATGAGCACATGCGCGCATGCATGAGCACATGAGCACATGCGCGCATGCATGAGCACATGAGCACATGCGCGCATGCATGAGCACATGAGCACATGCGCGCATGCATGAGCACATGAGCACATGCGCGCATGCATGAGCACATGAGCACATGCGCGCATGCATGAGCACATGAGCACATGCGCGCATGCATGAGCACATGAGCACATGCGCGCATGCATGAGCACATGAGCACATGCGCGCATGCATGAGCACATGAGGACATGCGCGCATGCATGAGCACATGAGCACATGCGCGCATGCATGAGCACATGAGCACATGCGCGCATGCATGAGCACATGAGCACATGCGCGCATGCATGAGCACATGAGCACATGCGCGCATGCATGAGCACATGAGCACATGCGCGCATGCATGAGCACATGAGCACATGCGCGCATGCATGAGCACATGAGGACATGCGCGCATGCATGAGCACATGAGGACATGCGCGCATGCATGAGCACATGAGGACATGCGCGCATGCATGAGCATATGAGGACATGCGCGCATGCATGAGCACATGAGGACATGCGCGCATGCATGAGCACATGAGGACATGCGCGCATGCATGAGCACATGAGGACATGCGCGCATGCATGAGCACATGAGGACATGCGCGCATGCATGAGCACATGAGGACATGCGCGCATGCATGAGCACATGAGGACATGCGCGCATGCATGAGCACATGAGGACATGCGCGCATGCATGAGCACATGAGGACATGCGCGCATGCATGAGCACATGAGGACATGCGCGCATGCATGAGCACATGAGGACATGCGCGCATGCATGAGCACATGAGGACATGCGCGCATGCATGAGCACATGAGGACATGCGCGCATGCATGAGCACATGAGGACATGCGCGCATGCATGAGCACATGAGGACATGCGCGCATGCATGAGCACATGAGGACATGCGCGCATGCATGAGCACATGAGGACATGCGCGCATGCATGAGCACATGAGGACATGCGCGCATGCATGAGCACATGAGGACATGCGCGCATGCATGAGCACATGAGGACATGCGCGCATGCATGAGCACATGAGGACATGCGCGCATGCATGAGCACATGAGGACATGCGCGCATGCATGAGCACATGAGGACATGCGCGCATGCATGAGCACATGAGGACATGCGCGCATGCATGAGCACATGAGGACATGCGCGCATGCATGAGCACATGAGGACATGCGCGCATGCATGAGCACAGATTGCCCTGGTGTTTTCCGTCTCTGCCTCCCAAAGCACATCGGACAAACGTTTTTGGGGAGTTACAAACAAATCGCCTTTCCAAGAAAAAGCGCCAATCTCTCTCCACGCTTTCTGTCTCTGCCTCCCTAATTGAGCTGACAAAGCTTCACCTGCCAAGATCGGTTGGAAGCTGGTTATCTCTCCAAATCGTTGTGATAGCCCATCCTCACTCGCACTGTTACATACGTTTTTCTATGCTTCCAAATCTGCAAGTGCTTTTTGTTGTCCCTTTTCTTTTCTTTGCTATTCGAAATATTCACCATTCTCCGTCTCTCCAGGAGGAAATATCCAAAGACGCTTCTGTATTTTACTGTCTTTCATGCCCGGATACAGCTTGTGCTGGAGCACCAATCATTTCTTGACACGTGTCTCTCAGAGGGGCTTCTGGATTCCTGCCCGCACATTCGAGAGGTGTGTAGCGCCTGCCGGCATGGTGTGTGTGCTACTCTAAAAAGCTGAGTAGTAGCGTGGTTCGTGGCGCATACTGGCCTTGCTGCTCACTAGGTGTGTGGTGCCTCCCTGCCTGTGTGGTGATTTCAATGCTCGAGCACTATGGACTGCAGCGTGGCGGGTTCCTGCACTTGCCATTCTCATTCGGGCTCGTGAAGTGTTTCGAGACGTCGCAAAATTGTTTTGAGACGCCGCAAAACTGTTTTGAGACGTCGCAAAACTGTTGAGACGTCGCAAAACACAAAAGTAACACCAACATAGTATGCAGTGCAGCATGGTGAGTTGCTGCGCTTCCCAATCTCACTCGGGCTCGTTAAGTAATCAGGGGCTTATCACTACCTTTTGTTTTTGTGGCACAGTGTTGTCGCTAGGCCATTTTGCCGCAGTGCATTCACTGCATGGCGTCCCTTCCTGCCATCCCGCCATTGCTCCTGTTGAGAGTCCCACAGGCAAGCAACCTTCATCGTTCTTTCTGTGATATTGAGATGTGCTTGGACCAAATCGTCCTTCCTTTCCGGAAAGGCATGGCTTTAAAGAATTCTTAATAGCCAGCTTGACTCGTTTCCTAATGGGGCTGGACCGTGTCATCTTTCCTTTCTATAAGTACATCTCTCCTTTCCCTGTATTGGGCCTGCACAAGGCCCACTCAACTGCCAAGTGGCTTCTCCTTGTGAAAAGTAGTTTGCCCACTCAACTGCCAAGTGGTTTCCCTGACATTCTTCCCCCCTTCTTCTTCCATCTCACCCACCTGCCTGCAGAAACTATCCGCCCTCCTCTCCATCTCTCTTCGCTTCGCCACCACCATCAGCGCCACCATCCACACAGCCTCCTCCCTCCCGGACCCTGATTCGTCAGCGTCATCATCAGCAGCAGGAGAAGGAGGATGGGGAGGAGGATCAGGAGCAGGAGGAGGAGTAGGAGGAAGGGGGGGTTATGGGCCGGAGGGTAGAACCAGTGGAGGCGAGCTGGCTGATTACGCTTACGGTGATGCCACGTCAGATGCCAAGGGACGGGCGGCTCGGGCGGCATTTCGTCGGCAGTTAGCTGCGGAGGAGCTACAGCGGGGTTTGGAGGAGGAGGGGTTTGTTGAAGAGATGAGGTGTGTGAGGGGAAAGGGGGTTGGGGGAGAAGGGGAAGGGGGGTAAAGAGGGGGAATCAAAGAAGGGTTTGACGGAGACATTGACTTTGCAATCAACCTGTCCCCGCTTCTCTCCATCTTGTCTCCTGCTCTCACCATCTCCCTGCTCTCCCCATCTCACCCTCTCCCCATCCCACCAGGGCCATGCACACTGCCTTTGCGGCCTCTCTCCGGGCCGCCACTGCTGCCATCGCATCTGCCCTCCGAGACCATCCTGTGCTGCTCTCCCTGCACCTCGCCCTCTCCGCCGTTGCCAAAGGCCTTCCTTGAAGTTTCCTTTGAGTCGACTCAAACGGGTGTCACTGCTGACATCGCATCTGCCCTCCAAGACCATGCTGCTCTCCTTGCACCTTGCCCTCTCTGCCGTTGCTGAAGGTCTTCCATGATACTTCCCCTCTTTGTCATCATGGTAGTGCAACTGGCCAGTGAGAAGCGCGATATCTCACAGCATGACTAACCCAGAGAAAGGTTTCGCTGCTTGGGAGTGTGTACAGTAATAATAGAAATACACCAAACGATGGGTGGTTGGTAACCAGGCCCTACGATATCAGGAATTTTCCCCTGAAATTCCTGATTTTCAGCCTAGTTTTGTGTACCTACACTGATTTTTCAGTGTTGAGATTTTTGTGACACTGATTTTCAGACTTTTATCGAAGTGTACACTGAATGCACATTCCGAATCCTTCCCATAAAACACCCGAGAGATTCAGTCAACCAACATTTCCACACGGTTAGCATACAAAATTGTAAGACACCAACGGCTGACAGGATGAACTGTCTCAGTGGTTAGCGAAATTGATATCGAATGGTAAGGTTCCCGGTTCGAATCCCTCTATCATGTTTGGTGAAGATAACTGTCATATACAAGGCATAATGTGAATGAAAATTCCGGCCTTTCTTATTTAGGAACCCTGAAATTCAGGCTTTTTGATTTAGGAACCCTGAAAATTCAGGCTTTTTTTTTAGGAACCCTGAAAATTCAGGCTTTTATTCACAGGGACCCTGATCCATCGACGTCCCTAAAAGTGAATCTGAGGGCCTGTTGGTAACTAAAGTATGAATTGACTCACAGATTATTGCTTCACCAGCCCTCGGTTCTCATGTCTGTGTTTCTTCGTAAACAGGTCTGATTCTCCTGTAAAATATTATTCATGTGCTGAATGTCACACCATCCACGCATCAGGGTTCACGACTGCTCTGCTCAGAGTGTTACCGGTAACCCTGTTTTCAAACCAGCTGTTTTACACGGATTTTGAAATCGCAGAGACTGTAGTTTTTATACCGCGCTTGTCGGGCGATCCTACAAATGGTTTAGTTCCTCACTACTCTCGCCGCATCTCACGGGAAACGCGATTTCAAAGGTCTGACGAGTCAGCGGAAGGACGGATTCAGGGTTCAGCAGCACAACTGAATGCCAGTTTCGCACATCTCCGCGAGTTTCGCCACCTTCGCATTTGGGCGACTTTGTGTTCCAGCATAGCCCTCGGGTCAATGCACGGATTTCTCTCCGAGCATTTCAGAATTCTCGAGCGAAACTCGAGCCTGAACCTCGTAGGTGGGATTTCTTACAGAAGGCGAACTAAAAGCGTGGTCTGTTACTGGAGGGCAACGGGTTTTGCAAAGCCAGAAAGGCCAAGTGCACCGACGCGACGGTCAAGTCCTATCAGAACGAGTGCAACGGAGTTCCTACTCCCGACGGTAAGCACGCTGCCACCCACGGGACCATAATGATGGCGTTGATGGGCATACTGATGGCATAATGATGGCATAATGATGACTACATCCCGTGTGGCCTGCATCATGTTGTCACATCATGTCAAAATATCAAATCGCATTTCGGTTGATTCATCTGGTCACGAAGTCACTCCTACGCAATCTGATTCCTCACGAGCTCCCGTTTTCGGCCTAATGGCATCACATTCCTCTTACTGACCATGGCGTCACAAGAACACACCATCCAGGACCCACCACCCAACACCACCCAGCATACACCACCCACCAGTATGCTTGAGGAGATGGGTTCGAGCACACGAGCCTGAGAGCAAATCAGGTTGAGCTGACAGGCTTGGGGAGATGGGCTCGAGCGCACGAGTCTGAGAGCGAATGAGGTTGAGCTGACGGGCTTGGGGAGATGGGCTCGAGCACACGAGTCTGAGAGCGAATGAGGTTGAGCTGACGGGCTTGGGGAGATGGGCTCGAGCACACGAGTCTGAGAGCGAATCAGGTTGAGCTGACGGGCTTGGGGAGATGGGCTCGAGCACACGAGTCTGAGAGCGACTCAGGTTGAGCTGACGGGCTTGGGGAGATGGGCTCGAGCACACGAGTCTGAGAGCGAATGAGGTTGAGCTGACGGGCTTGGGGAGATGGGCTCGAGCACACGAGTCTGAGAGCGAATGAGGTTGAGCTGACGGGCTTGGGGAGATGGGCTCGAGCACACGAGTCTGAGAGCGAATGATGTTGAGCTGACGGGCTTGGGGAGATGGGCTCGAGCATACGAGTCTGAGAGCGAATCAGGTTGAGCTGACGGGCTTGGGGAGATGGGCTCGAGCACACGAGTCTGAGAGCGACTCAGGTTGAGCTGACGGGCTTGGGGAGATGGGCTCGAGCACACGAGTCTGAGAGCGAATGAGGTTGAGCTGACGGGCTTGGGGAGATGGGCTCGAGCACACGAGTCTGAGAGCGACTCAGGTTGAGCTGACGGGCTTGGGGAGATGGGCTCGAGCACACGAGTCTGAGAGCGAATCAGGTTGAGCTGACGGGCTTGGGGAGATGGGCTCGAGCACACGAGTCTGAGAGCGACTCAGGTTGAGCTGACGGGCTTGGGGAGATGGGCTCGAGCACACGAGTCTGAGAGCGAATGAGGTTGAGCTGACGGGCTTGGGGAGATGGGCTCGAGCACACGAGTCTGAGAGCGAATGAGGTTGAGCTGACGGGCTTGGGGAGATGGGCTCGAGCACACGAGTCTGAGAGCGAATGATGTTGAGCTGACGGGCTTGGGGAGATGGGCTCGAGCATACGAGTCTGAGAGCGAATCAGGTTGAGCTGACGGGCTTGGGGAGATGGGCTCGAGCACACGAGTCTGAGAGCGAATGAGGTTGAGCTGACGGGCTTGGGGAGATGGGCTCGAGCACACGAGTCTGAGAGCGAATCAGGTCGAGCTGACGGGCTTGGGGAGATGGGCTCGAGCACACGAGTCTGAGAGCGAATCAGGTTGAGCTGACGGGCTTGGGGAGATGGGCTCGAGCACACGAGTCTGAGAGCGAATCAGGTTGAGCTGACGGGCTTGGGGAGATGGGCTCGAGCACACGAGTCTGAGAGCGAATCAGGTTGAGCTGACGGGCTTGGGGAGATGGGCTCGAGCACACGAGTCTGAGAGCGAATCAGGTTGAGCTGACGGGCTTGGGGAGATGGGCTCGAGCACACGAGTCTGAGAGCGAATGAGGTTGAGCTGACGGGCTTGGGGAGATGGGCTCGAGCACACGAGTCTGAGAGCGAATCAGGTTGAGCTGACGGGCTTGGGGAGATGGGCTGGAGCACACGAGTCTGAGAGCGAATCAGGTTGAGCTGACGGGCTTGGGGAGATGGGCTCGAGCACACGAGTCTGAGAGCGAATCAGGTTGAGCTGACGGGCTTGGGGAGATGGGCTCGAGCACACGAGTCTGAGAGCGAATCAGGTTGAGCTGACGGGCTTGGGGAGATGGGCTCGAGCACACGAGTCTGAGAGCGAATCAGGTTGAGCTGACGGGCTTGGGGAGATGGGCTCGAGCACACGAGTCTGAGAGCGAATCAGGTTGAGCTGACGGGCTTGGGGAGATGGGCTCGAGCACACGAGTCTGAGAGCGAATGAGGTTGAGCTGACGGGCTTGGGGAGATGGGCTCGAGCACACGAGTCTGAGAGCGAATCAGGTTGAGCTGACGGGCTTGGGGAGATGGGCTCGAGCACACGAGTCTGAGAGCGAATCAGGTTGAGCTGACGGGCTTGGGGAGATGGGATCGTAGCACACGAGTCTGAGAGCGAATCAGGTTGAGCTGACGGGCTTGGGGAGATGGGCTCGAGCACACGAGTCCGAGAGCGAATCAGGTTGAGCTGACGGGCTTGGGGAGATGGGCTCGGGCACACGAGTCTGAGAGCGAATCAGGTTGAGCTGACGGGCTTGTGGAGATGGGCTCGAGCACACGAGTCTGAGAGCGAATCAGGTTGAGCTGACGGGCTTGGGGAGATGGGCTCGAGCACACGAGTCTGAGAGCGAATCAGGTTGAGCTGACGGGCTTGGGGAGATGGGCTCGAGCACACGAGTCTGAGAGCGAATCAGGTTGAGCTGACGGGCTTGGGGAGATGGGCTCGAGCACACGAGTCGGAGAGCGAATCAGGTTGAGCTGACGGGCTTGTGGACATGGGCTCGAGCACACAAGTCTGAGAGCGAATCAGGTTGAGCTGACGGGCTTGGGGAGATGGGCTCGAGCACACGAGTCTGAGAGCGAATGAGGTTGAGCTGACGGGCTTGGGGAGATGGGCTCGAGCACACGAGTCTGAGAGCGAATCAGGTCGAGCTGACGGGCTTGGGGAGATGGGCTCGAGCACACGAGTCTGAGAGCGAATGAGGTTGAGCTGACGGGCTTGGGGAGATGGGCTCGAGCACACGAGTCTGAGAGCGAATGATGTTGAGCTGACGGGCTTGGGGAGATGGGCTCGAGCATACGAGTCTGAGAGCGAATCAGGTTGAGCTGACGGGCTTGGGGAGATGGGCTCGAGCACACGAGTCTGAGAGCGACTCAGGTTGAGCTGACGGGCTTGGGGAGATGGGCTCGAGCACACGAGTCTGAGAGCGAATGAGGTTGAGCTGACGGGCTTGGGGAGATGGGCTCGAGCACACGAGTCTGAGAGCGACTCAGGTTGAGCTGACGGGCTTGGGGAGATGGGCTGGAGCACACGAGTCTGAGAGCGAATCAGGTTGAGCTGACGGGCTTGGGGAGATGGGCTCGAGCACACGAGTCTGAGAGCGAATCAGGTTGAGCTGACGGGCTTGGGGAGATGGGCTCGAGCACACGAGTCTGAGAGCGAATCAGGTTGAGCTGACGGGCTTGGGGAGATGGGCTCGAGCACACGAGTCTGAGAGCGAATCAGGTTGAGCTGACGGGCTTGGGGAGATGGGCTCGAGCACACGAGTCTGAGAGCGAATCAGGTTGAGCTGACGGGCTTGGGGAGATGGGCTCGAGCACACGAGTCTGAGAGCGAATGAGGTTGAGCTGACGGGCTTGGGGAGATGGGC